TATATATATATATAATTTATTTATTCATTTATTTGGTGCAGGGTCTTGCTACACAGCTCGCGCTCATAGTGATACTCCTGTCTCAGCCTCTCCAGTGCTGGGATTACAGGCATGTGCCACCACACCTGGGTTTTCCTTAGGGGATGGCATAGTATGTAGTACTGGGGATTGAACCTGGGTCCTTGTGCTTGCCAGGCAGTCACTTAGGCCACTGAACTATCTTCTTGACCCAGTATCCCCTATATTTTTTAATTCTCTTGTTCAAGTTTTACTCTTTTTCTCTCATATAATGATATTTCAGATTTTATTGTGTTGTGCCTCAGGAAAGGGGTGTGTGTGTGTATGTGTGTGCTGTGTGTGTTCACACACATGCATGACTGTGATATTTACGTATTTGCTATGTAACTTAAGATAAGGCTAGGAGCTAATGATGTGACTGTTTTCTACCCTAGTGAAGCCTTTTTAATGTGCAGTACTCAAAGTTATTAATAGAAGCCTGCTACTGGAAAATTGTTGTAGTGGATAAACATTATTTAAAGAATGTTTCAGGGCCAGCGAGATAACTCAGCAGACTAAGTGCCTGCTTAGGCAAGTGCAAGGACCAGTTTTCAATCTTGGGCACTACATTTCATGCTGGCCCCACCCGTGGGCTCTGTGCTGGCCACCAAAACCAGGCATGATGGCCCATGCCTGTAATCCCAGCACTGGGGTGGCTGAAAACAGGAGGATAACTACGTGTAGTGAGACCCTGTACCAAATACATAAACAATAAATAGATAAATGACTTTAATGACAATGGAATACCCTTCTCTGACAAAACTAAACAATAAAAGGGGACACAAATGAAGGACTATTTTGTATCTGTATATTCAAAATATTTAGGATAGATACACAGCTACCTTCTCTTAATTCAATGAATAGAAAGATTTGTGCTAATAGTGTTTGTGAACAGGATATCTTGTCTGCATCTTGTACCATGAATAACCACTAAGACAACCATATGCAATGTACTAATTATTGCAACTGTCCTACTAATTGGTTTTGAAACTGTATCATTGATGGTTGTTTCTCAATAAAATTATTTAAAAAAACAATGTTTAAGTCACTGTTCAGATGTTTAGTTTGCTTTTTGAGTACTTCATTATTCTTGTAGAATCATGCACCTAGGACTTAAGCCCTAACTATGCAGGCCTTTTGAGGCAAAGACCTCAGGCCCAGCTTCTCTGCACTCTCGCTTGAGCTGTCTTATTTCATATGTCCCTCTTCCTCAGCCCACTCCCTTGGTCCCCATAGAAACACAAGCTCCAGCAGCAGTGAGTCCCAGTGCCAGTGAATCCCTGGCTCACTATTTTGGTGGCCAGAGGAGAGTGATGATTGCCATCTTCCTGGAGCTGATTCCTATATGACCTGACTACAGGTCATATAGGAATATGTTTCATATTCCAGATTTCTACATCGCAATGATTTAAGAGCGGCCATTTTTATTTCCTTCTCAGAGCACGTGGATGAGCGAACAATATGCAATGGAATTGCCCCAGGAAAAGATGTGGATGGGTTTCACATTATCAATGTGGGAAGACTGTGCCTGGACCAGCATTCCTTCATCCCTGCCACTGCTGGTGCTGTCTGGGAGATCATCAAAAGGACAGGTTGGTAGCCTAGGATCTGCAGGACATAGATGTCAGGTGCTAAAATGAGCATTTGTCCACTGCTTTTAAAAAAAATCTTTATTTATTTATTGATTGATTGATTGATTGATTGATTTGGTGCAGGATCTCACTATGCAGCTTGGACTAGTAGTGATCCTCCTGTCTCAGCCTCCTCAGTGCTGGGATTACAGGCATGTACCACATGCCTGGCTTTAGGGCTAGCATGGCATGTGGTACTGGGGATTGAACCCAGGTCTTTGCACTTGCTAGGCAGGCACTTAGACCACCAAGCTATCTCCTCAGCTCAGCTCTATCCATTGCTTTGATAGAGCAACCTCAGACCTGTAGAAGGATAAAACATGATAAGCCATAAAGCTTCAGTCTGCAGGCAGATATAAAGCTGTAGAAATCAAAAAGATTCCCAAATAAAGTAAAATCAAGAGCATGTGCCAGATTTCAGGTAACTGCAGTTCCAAGTTGTAAGGGGTGAATGTTCCAGATGATATTTATGGCTCCTTACTGTTAAACTAAATTTCATGCATTTTGGTGAAAACTTTCCAAACTACATGCATTTTATCTTTCTCCTTAACACACTGATCACACAGGAATCTCCTCTGTTGCCCAGGTTCCTATTTTGAGCATTCCCCTTCAGGTACATCTGCATGATCACACCCGCTCACTCTCAGGTGTGCGGAGCTGGTCCCCACGCTGTGAACCAAGCCCAGTCACCCACAGTTCAGCCTGCCTGGAGGTAGGGATGCTCCTGTACTCACCACTCTCCCTGCCATTTCTTGTAGCATCTCTGCTTCTCTAATCTGCTGTTTTCTAACTGATGAAAAATTTGCAAGAGAAATCAGATTCCAGGATCATACATTTAAGATATTGGTACTTGGAAAACCTTCATTCTAACTTCTTTTACTTATAAAGAACTGAGGCCAAAAGAGGTAGAGTATGTTAAGTCTGCAGGCTTTTTCTTTTGCAGACTTCTGATTCTCTAAGTTTAGCTTTTTCCTATAGAGAAAAGTACATGCACTTTGTGAATAATCCCCTTTCCCCATTTTATTTTATCTCACCTTTGCTCAATGTTTGATTGCCTATTAAGCCTGGTATTGTTACTTGGTGTATTTTATAATTAGCAGTTAATATATAGCAAAGTTCTGCACTTATAACTCTTCATGTGGATTGCAGTGTTTAAAAGTAATGTAATGGTAACTTGAAGGTGCTTGTGATTTTTAAATGGTATATAATCAGAGAGGAAGTAAGTGACAGATTCAAGAAGCATAAAAGGAAATAAACATAAACAATTGAATACAGGCATGTAAGAGACAAGCCACATAATTCAGATTTAATTAGAGCTTTGTAAAGAATGCTTCATTTGACTGTTCGGATGTATGCATCTTGTGGTTGATTCTGCATTTAAATCAAACTCTGTGTTTTAAGGAATTGAAACCTTTGGGAAAAGTGTGGTTGTGGTGGGAAGATCAAAGCACGTGGGCCTGCCAATTGCCATGCTCCTGCACACAGATGGAGACCACGAGCGCCCAGGAGGTGGGTAGAACAAGACACGTGTAGGCGTTGGCTTGTGCCTTTTGGGGGCAGCTAGTAAGAATTCTTGATGGTGTGAATTTGCATAATTTGGGGTTTATACAGTCAATATTCTTTATTCCTCACCTAATAGTGTGAATGTCAAAGAAGTAAATAACGGCATTGTTGAAAATATTTGGCCCTTTTGTTCCTATTATTTCTTTTGGCCACATTTTTTTTTTTCTCAAAATAGCTCATGTTTAATTTCAAGATTCTCCCAGTAATGCAGAGTCCATCTGAGTATTATTTCTTTACCATGTTCAAATCAAAAACCTAAACTGAATACACAATGTGTATCTTGCCTCCCACGTACAAACCCACAATCAACCAAGCCCCAGAAAGTATTAAGAAAGTCCTGGCCTAGCCATATAGTCATAGTAGAGCATGAACAGCCACCTCAGTCACGATCCTGCTCTGAATTTTACCACACACAGTTTGAAGTAGGCTTGATAAGGTCCCTTTGTTAGAAGTCCCAGTGAGCACAGGTTCTCTGCTTCGTGGGAATGACCATGGGACAGCCTGAAATCCATACTTCAGCAGCAAGGGAAATTGATGCTGCATTTTTTGAAACTTAAAAAAAAAAATGAGGATGAAGCCTGACTGTAACAAGTTACCAGATATCTAAAATCATCCCTAAAATTAAAAATAGATTTAAACACGGTTGTGAATTTTACAAAAGAAATAGTATGGTTAGATAACAAGATTTTTGCTTTTTTTCCCATAATTTTATTGAGAAACAAATAGCAATGAGACAGTTTCAAACCAAATTGGTAGGACAGTTTCAATAATTAACACACTGAATACATTCTTCTTAGTGGTTAATTGCTGTACAAGATGCGGACATGATATCCTATTTACAAACACCATTAGAACAAATCCCTCTATTCATTAAGAGAATGCAACTATATATCTATGCTAACCACTTTGAATACACAGATACCAAATGGACATTCATCTGTATACCGCCACATTTGTTTCTTAAAATCATTAATAATATAAACATGCACCAGCCTGGCAAGTGCAAAGTCCTGAGTTCAATCTCTGGAATAATAATAATAATAATAATAATTATTATTATTATTATTATTATTATAATTACATAAAGGTGAAATGTCATAAAAAATTTAGATGCATAAAAATCAAATTTCAGAACATCCTCAAAATTTTGAGAAAATGGATGTGAAATTCCTAAAATGTAAAGGTCCTGGTATTTCATAGGACAACAAGTTAGTTTACTTTGCAGACAAGGGGGTTGAGGCTTAGGCTGGTTAACTGGTCATCTAGTTTAGATTCAGTCACTGAGCTTCAAGAAGCAGTCACTAAGAAAGCCTGGTGACTCGCCAGTGTTTGCAAGCATGTGGTTGGTTGGGAAGCCTACCATCCCAGCTGCCCCCCCGCTGGTGGCAGACCAGTTTCCTGGGGAGATCCAGGAGTTGGCTGGGAAGAGATCCAGCAGAGGGACCATTCCCAGTCACCTGAGCCAGTGTAGTAGGCAGAGAGTAAGAGCTTACTCAGTTGAATGCCAGCTGCTAGATTTTGCAACTTGTCCCAACAGGGCAAAAAAAACCCCAAGGTTCATGTTCTTATTAGTAGTTATTGGTCTGTGTGTATGTTTACAGCTTCCTTTATTGCTAACTGTTCTTAATCTTTTGGTGGGTACTTTAGAGAGAGTCTTAATTATTTGCATAGAAAGTACTTCATTTGTTCCTTTAGTTCCAAAAAAGGGAGGAGCTACTTCTTTTTTTCTTTTTTTACTTTCTAATATTCAGACATGCACTTGCTTGTATACCACACACACACACACACACACACACACACACACACACAGACACACACACAAACACACACATCATGTATAGGCATGACTTTGGTGAATTATTTTCCCTTTCTGGGCCTAAGGATTTAAATATTGCCTGCGACTAACGTGTATATGAAGGTCACAGTAAGTTAGGGCCTGATAGTAATTCCAGGCAACCTGTTAGGTGCTCAGTATTGAAGAGCTTTTTGAACAGGCCAGTCTCATGGTACACGCTGAGTTCCATCATATCTATCTCCAAAGCTGCATTCTTAGTTTCAGTGTTCACTTTATTCCTGCTGGTTGGTCTCTTAGAAGGCCATAATAATAGTGATTTGTATTTATCTTTACATGATGGTTTTATGTTAAGCAAAGTAAAATAGTTGGCAATATTTACCTAGTAGGATTTTCTTAGAAAATTGTGACCAAGAGCTGATAAGTAAGTTTTCTTTAATTCAACATTATGTTTTCTTATCTCAATATCACCAGACAGCAAAAATATAGCTCCATGTTTTACTCAATACTTTCTCATGAACCATTAATATTATTCCCATTTTTCTGGTAATGAAAATGAGCCTTAGAGACCTTGAAGAATGTGCCCAAGGCCATAGAGGAAGTGGGGGCCCCCGCACAGGAGGGGGTGCTGAGTCTGTCAGGAGGGCAGGACTGGTTCAGGCCTTGCCATGCTGTGCCCTGAACTGTGGACAGGTCATTTAATCTGCACAGACCTCCACTTTCCTCATCTGCAAATGGAAATAATATTGACATCTCCTTTACTTGGATACTGTGAAAGCTAAGTGAGATACAGAAGGAAAACAGTGACGACAGAGCCTGAGCCACAGCGAACTAAGTCTGTGAGTGGAGCTGTAGCCATTATTGTCATTTCAGTTACTATGGCTAAGTTAATAACTGTACCACCAGTTGTAGAGTAGTGTGATTTGAGCTGAATAATGTTCTGCTGCACTTTATTTGCAGTTTTGTTTTCTACTTGGTTGGGGTTGGCTTTTTTGGATACTAGTTGTTAGGTTTTTTGGTAATAAGTTGAATAACTTCAAAACTATATAAAAGCTTACATAGTATTTGATAAAAATATGACATTGCTCTATTCCAGTTAGTACTTCACAATGCATTTTTTCTTAAAGGCAAGTGTATATTATATTCTAGCTTCCTATTAAGTTTCAATTTTGAATGTCTGTAAAGTACCTCAGAGAATTACTTTAGCCATTTTTAGCATATGTACAGGCAAGGACTATTTTCAGGGTTTTTTTTTAAACTGCAATTATAGATAATTAATCTTACATAATAAACATTTTTATTATCTGTGGCTTACTTATAGGTACCCACATGTATAGTAAAAATATTGAAGTAACCATGAGAAAGATAAACAAATTTATAGTATCGATAACCTCCAAGGAGAGAATTATAAAGACATACTACTTCAAAAAGTATTTTCTGCTGTGTGTAATAGTGTCACTCAAAAAGCTTGGTAAAAATTGGGTAAATATGGAATTGGTTATTATGCTTGTTCCAAGACAAATGGGTAGAGTTAGGTTTATAATAGTGCAGACACCATCACAGTTACAGCATCTAAAAAAAAGGTAAGAAACTACACATAAATGGCCATGAAGGTTTTGCTGCATGGGTGGTGGTAAAGGTTCTGCACTTCCTACAGGAGTGTGGTGATGTGCTGTTCATTAAGTGGCTGTCAAGAGTTGTTTCTGGAAATCTGGCTGTTTGAGGGAAGATTAGTGTTCAGAAAGCTGGGGTCTCACCAACAGCACCTCTGTGCTGGCCCTCCCAGTGCATGTTCAGTTAGTGGATGTGATGGACCATGAGTATCCAGCAAATTCCTGCCCGTGGTCTTGTTCAAAAGGCATCTATAATATACAGCATTCAGCTTGTGCTATTTCTTTGCCAGAAGAGATTCAGAACCCAAATTCATTTTAAAAAAAATCTCAAAGCCAAAGATAATTGCACTAAAAGACAAAAAAGCCTGTCTGTAATTTAGCTTGCTTTCTATGTGTCTCACTTGTCTGGCTTTGCATTTGGATGTAGAGAATAGAGACTACAGCTATGGTGCATGGAAAATATCCTTTTAATTAACCTGGGGCTTGAAATAGGGAGAAGGTGCTGAAATCTTGAAGTGAAAGGGTAGGGCTGACGAGGGCTCCTGGAGGATGGGGTCACAGAAGCTGGGGGTGATTTGATGTTTGAGACACGGGTGCAAAGAAGAAATGGGAACCATTTCTTCTCCCCTGGAGCTGTGGCCTTGGAGATGGTGACAGAATGCAAAAAGACACTGCATAAAAATATGAAGAACTAAAACTAAAGATTTGAAGGCACAAAATACAAGTTGGCATCTCTCAGCAAATACACTGTGCTTAGAGAAGCTAAGGGTTAATTGGAATGACTTCCAGAGATGGGCCATGGAAGGTGTCTTTCTGTGATCTCACTGTTCCTGGGACAGTTGAGTACATTGTGCCCCTCCTCAGGTGACTGTGTATTGTTTCAGTTTCTTCCTGTGTGGTGACCTAGAGAGTTTCACCTTCTTTCAGAGTAAAACTGAGTATCCCTGACTCTCCCATAGCATCTTTGTTTTTCATTTTACCATGATGAAGGAAGAGAGAAATTCCCCAATTTATTTAAAACAATTCTTTCTGCAAAATAAATTGCCATAATGACCAACATATTATAGTAACAAATTGTCACCAGGGGATTGCACAACCTGAGTGCACCTCAAAATTTTCTAGAGTAAATTCTCTGCATATTCTTTTGTAAGGAGGACATCTCACAAAACAGGCCCCATGAAATGACCGCACAGGTCCCATGCTCCTCCTTCGACAGAAAGGTCATGGTCTCCCTGGAGGGCACTAACACTGCCAGTGCACTTTAAAGAAGCATTTTGGAGGGGCAGTGCTCACCGATCTTACAGCCACAGAAGCTGTAAGTGATGTTCTTGACCCCCTGCAGCTGCTAGCCATGCTGCACTTGCTCGGCAGACCTGGCATCCCTGCCATCCCTGCAGTCTGGGTGCGGAAATCTCTTGAAGCTCCCCTCTACATTGTCAGGACATCTCTGAGGAAGCTTTATGTTCTCCTGCTGTCTCTGTCTTTGCACTTCCTATTCAGGCTGACCTGCTGCTGAATATTCTGCATCACAGGCATTTTTT